TTTTTTGGGGGGGAGGTCTTAAACACATCTGAAAGTGTTTCCATTTCGAGCCGTGGTTGGGTATTCTTGTTTGGTTTATCTTCTATACTGACTACAGCACTTTTTAAATATTTATCACTTCACGTTAACAAACCGTCACTATTAATATCATGAACAACTATTAAAAACCACCGCTCTCTACCTAAACACAGCTTAAACTACAAGTTAACTTTATGTTGCGAACCTTCCTCTATCCTCACCGCTAATCGCTCTGAACGCTGGCTTCTTGAACACAACGTAAACAACTTTACCGATAACTTGGGCATTTTTCCTACCTTCCATTAATGCGTATTTGTTCTGGATACCCTCCCCCCCCCCCTTCCTTCCTCGCCCCGTCCCCAGTGTGGTTAGCGGATGCTCTTCTCTGGTGTCGTTTGCTCTTTGTGTCCTATCAAACATAATATATCGTCCTTATCTCTGCTCTTTCTTTTTATGTTTGTTAGTCTCTTGTAACACCTCTAATCTGCTGCACTTACAGGACCTATATTATGTGTTGCTAGTCGATACTTTAGAATTGCAATTTACTATCTGTTATCTTTTTTAAAATAAGACCATGAGGTCAAAAATCAAATTTTCTATCAGCTCTATCAAAATCGCAAGACTATTCGTAGTTGTTGTCGATATATTCAAAGAACCCCAGTTGAAAAAATGTGACATGTTGTGAAACTCAAAGCATTTTTTTTACATCAAATTTCTCAAAGCAAAGTACTGAACAGACATATAGAAATTTGTAATTCTAGGGTAGCTAAGTGTCTCAAACTGTTACTAAAATATTGCAGCCAGACATGTTGTGAAACTCAGAACATTTTTTGGGGTCAAATTTCTCAAAACTAAGTATTGAGCAGACAGAACTTTTTAATGCTAGAGTAGCGAAGTGCCATTAACTCTATAAGGACGTAGAGGACACATGTGTTCGACCAACAGCCGACCAGCGGCCATGTTGAGGCACATTTAGAGCCATCTTACATTCATGAGCAACACAAATTTGTATATTTCATAGCATGCACGTTGTTGTCGGGTTTTTAGGTTTTGGATAAAGAAAACTAATGAAAAATTGATATGAATTACGAAGTTGTGCTTGCTCTTTTAAAGTGACCCAAAACAGCGCGTCTTCAATGAGTTAAAATCTTACTAAAACACCAACTCCTTCCCCCACCACCCTCCTCACCCCCATCCTCCCCTCCCCACAGAGTGGACACCGCGACCAGCATGTCCGGCGCCTCCGAGGACACGGCCAAACTGACCATCCAGACCAGCGCTGACGTGGAAGTTCTCAGCCCCTGTGAGTTCGCTCTGCGTCTCCGAGGCACCAGACTGCTCCACTCGGACAGCACCGGAACCATGAAGGCTGCCGACAGGTCAGGGGGGAGAGAGGGAGAGGGAAATTTCACTTTTCATTTCACATTTTGTTTTTTCAATTTATTTGTTCTGGCTTTTGTTTGTTTGTTTGTTTTTTGTGGGGGGGGGGTTGTTTTGGGGATGTTTTTGTGGTTGTTGTTTTTTCTGCAGAAAGATGAGCTGTGGAGCACTTACAAGAACGATGACCTTGATTCTGAGCTCCGAGTGGCCGTCTATTTATTGACTCTGATGCGTTGTCCCACCGACGACGCAATTTAGTCTGTTTCAGGAATGTTGAAATGAGGATTCTATTCTTGGGAACTGTTAGATTTTAGTTTGGTTGTTTGTATTTAGCACCATTTTAATAGGAGGAACGAGATCATAAACTGGAGCTGACATTACAAGGTTGTGACAAACACTTGAGAGTCGGAGAGAGAGAGAGAGAGAGAGAGAGAGAGAGAGAGAGAGAGAGAGGAGGGAGGGAGAGAGGTAGAGGAATGGGATGGGCATAGGCTAGAACAAGGAATCAGTTCCATGATCTAGAAAGTAGTATCCTAAAACCGTTACACTACATTCTGTTCTTTCACAATGCGAAAAAAGCTCACAATCTATTTATAGGCCACGTCATGTTTCCCTTCTTCCATACTTCAAATGCAAAAGAAGCTCAAGATCTATTTATAGGCTACTTCATGTTTCCTTTTTATCACAATACAAAAGAAGCGCTCACAATCTATTCATAGATCACTCCACGTTTCTTTTAAACAGAGAATCACTGTTTCGCCGGGCTGTCGAGGCCTCCGAACTGAGGTTTTCCTTCCAGAATGGCGTGGTGGCCCAGATCTGCTCCGGACAAACAGAGGGTGCCTGGGTGACCAACTTCAAAAAGGGTGTGCTCTCCAGCTTCCAAAACAGCATGGATGACCTGACAAAGTCCCAGAACCTTACAGAGGTACCGTTTCGTCAAAGTCCTCATATTTCTCAAGTTTCATTTTGAAAAGACAGTACAATATCGTGTTTCATAAAATGTTCAGGAGAACACCCCCCCCCCCCTTCCGCCCCAAAAAACAACAAAAGAAAACTCACATCTTTGCCTCTCAAGAGCCAGTTGCTTTGAATGTCTTTAAAATACTTCCCACATTGTATCTATTTAGATAGTGATACTAGGCAAAGGCAGAAATGTGCAACTACCGGGTGGAATCGACAGCCCAGTTTCGTCCAGAACTGGAAATACTGTATTTCAGAAGTAAAACTCCAGATTTAGCGACCCAGAAACATCAAGTACAATAACTAAAACCAAAGCTAAGGCACGGCCATGCTTGAAACAAATTGCTTGCTACTGAATTTTGGTGGAGATACAAGAACATTACCTCTTATTTATGAGTAGAAAATCAGATTGTTACTTTTTAAGTCGTTTTTATGTTTATAAAGTAATTCGTTAACAATGTTTTTATCTGCATCTGTGTCCATAAGAATTGAAGAAATAAAATATTTTAAATGTTTTGCCTCGTTCAGCTGTGAGGAAGACCCCCAACAATGGGAAGGCGAGCGTGACCCTTTTCCTCAGAATGCACTTCTTTAGATCAGCCTCATGATCTGACACGCAAACGTCTGTGATTTTGTTTTAAAATCGAACTTTAAGAACTGAATATTTCCTCCCCACAGACTGACATCGCCGGCCAGTGCCGCACCGAGTACAAACTGGTCAGCGACGGCTACTACAGCGTCAGCATCAAGAAGAGCAAGGACATTCTGAGCTGCACCGAGCGCCACCAGTACAAGACCATATATATATATATGTTGTCTTCGGCACTGATGAAAACATTTTTATTTCGTCTCTCAAATAGAACTTATTTTAGGACAATCCTTGCTTACGCGGACAACAAGCTCTAGTCACGTCACTCCCTAGTATAGTGCTCGAAACGCAATATCATGTTATCAGTGTATAGACATTGTTGCCACAAGCGTTATTGGGGATACTCTATTCTCTAAATTTTGAAAACAGTGCAATCTGTCATCTTGTAGTGTACTGTCTTGGGTACAATAATATCGTGTCACACCGTGGTGTAATCAGGCGCTCTTCATAATAATGAAATAGAAAAAAAACTGATTTTTTATTATTTATATTTTTATTTTTATTTTTTTTAAATTAAAAAAAAATATATA